GTAGTAACGGATTACTGTAAAAAAATTTGGAAAATGACTGCAATTTTTTTAATCGTGGCATTATCTAAAATAAAACACATTTTATTTTATTCATTATTATCTAATATTTTACATTTATAATATACAATTTCATTTGAGTTACAAGTACCACATACAGGTAATTAAATTACAAATGCCTCATAGTAACTATGATCAAATATGACAGCTATGACATAATAAAGGTTCGCAGGAACCTACTTTAACTGCTTTTTTCCCATTTAACATAAAAATAATTTAGGATAATATACATTCAACTTCAGTTTTTTTTTTTTATACATCCTCTATACTAAAACACAGATAACAGGTAGTTTATTATATCCAATTCTGGATGTAATAATAGCATAGCTGACGGATATTGGAACTAAAGTAACAAACAGGTAAGTACAAACAGCCAGTTTATTGTATCAGGATGTATGCAGGACGATTCAACGGTAAACGCCACCCCAACTTACAAAAAGATAAAAACAAAAGGAAGTTGAAGAGCTTCGGTCTACAGCGTAACGTAACTCTCTCCAATCTTCTTCAGTTAGAAACAATTGAACGAAAAACAAAAAAGATATAAATTAATTGGTGAACGTTTGTAAAAATTATTAGTAAAAATAAATACTTTACAATTCAGTAACTAATAAATTTAAAGTAGGGCGGCGAGTCGCAGATATCATCCCTTACACTAAGAACAAGGCAAGAAAATTCAAACTGAGAAAAAAATATTGTTCGCTTATTTTGTTAGGCAATTTTAAGGCGAAAACCAACAAATAAAATCTTCGTTATACATACAATACTATGGCACGCATTCTTTTATTCAATATTTTACTATTGTTAGAGGTTTCTAACATTTAAATCAGTCTTATAACAGCAAGAACAAAAGGTGCAAAGCAATAAAAAACAAAATTATAATAACAATTATTTAGTGTGCTGTAAGCAATTTAATTACAATTTTTTTAATTATGCTATTGTAACTGATCCAATCGTGAAAATGCCATACTTTTAAGTTAAATAAAAAAGTCCCTTAAGACGTCCTAACAAAATAGCAACAACTTTACGTCGTTATGTTATATCAAAACACTCTGTATATTAGAAAGGAATGTATACAATATGTGCTACAAAAACGCAGCAGGTCACGTTAAATAGTAAAATCAATAATGTCACGTTGGTCCAGTACAAAAAAAAAACAGTAACATTGAAAAAAAAAAAAACAAACGATTTTTAAAAAGTGTAAAACAATCGAAAAAGATAAAGTGGCAGTTAAAAATGAGTATTATTGTTAATATTATTATTATTAGGAACAGCCAAAAAGGGCCAATATAAAGACATATTTATGGAGTGCTATGTGTATATCAATAAAAAAAAATTAGAAAAGACGGGATGTAAAATAAAAAAGTCACTATCAGGTGTCTAAAATAAATATTCTTACTAGCGTACGTACGACACGTACATAAAATAATACTGAAAACAATCCCAAATTAAATCAACTACATTGGCAAGTTCGATAGGGACAAAAGTTTGAATATTGGATATTATTATCAAATACCCGGAACTTTATTGTTATTATTATTACAATTAGGTATATTAATTTAAACGGGTGTCTTTTGATGTCTCTTTTTTTTTTTAATAAAGCATGTCACTGCTGGCTAGGGACGGTAGTCAAATATACTTTTCGACTCTAAAAACATTTTCGTTACAAAAAACATCGCAAGCGAAACTGGATAGAAATTAACAACACAGATGATACTTTTTACTGTACGCATTATTACAAGGGAAGAGTTCGACGTTGTTTCTTCTACCTCTTCACCGTTTCAAACTTTCAGATCAATTTAAAGAAATCACAGGCGCGCGTCATTTTATTATTATTTTTTTTTTGAACACTTTAAATAATGTCATCTAACATTTATTTATATCGCGATAAAAACATTTAAAAAAATGTCCAGATGAAGGTAATCTTATAANNNAATATTATCTATTATTATTATACTATTTACAAATTACAAACCCCTATCATCGTCGCCGACCGTTTACATTATTTTATTTTCGCCTCTTTTTTTTCAAGCATCTATTATCAAACAACGAACTTCTTGTAACAAGCACCATACGTAGACATTTAAAAATTCGCCCCCCTCCCCCCACACGTGCTTCTGTGTATCTTTGTATTTTATTACAACTAACAAGAAGGTTCGTTCAAGTTATCCCTTATTATTAGGCTTTCTTAATGTACAATATACATATATCTGCTAATAATCCTAATTAGATCAGTAAAACACTTGTTTACGTTAAAACATGTTCTCTATAAACACACACTCACACACCGTCCAATGTTTACTTGATAATACATCATTATAACGCTACCACAGCTCTCTATATTTAAAACAGATAGTTTTAGCTGCCTGATGGTATTTTGTTTTCGTTTTTGTTTTTTTTTTCTTTACTCTTTCCCCTCGACGTATTTGATGATAAAAAAGCTTTGTTTTTTTACGTATCACAAAAAAAGAATTGTTTCGGGAACCTTACACGCCCTCAATCGGGTATCTATATCACATTCGCATATCTGCCGAAGTTTTCATTATTAAGTCAAAAATTAGAGAAATTGCTATTACTTTTCTCTATTAACGTCGTCTAAACCGAATTACGATAGTGAAATTAAAAAAAAAATGCAAAAGTAATTGAAAAAGAAACGCACAAACTTCTATTAATTAAATTAAAGCTATTGCGAAACAGTCATCACTGGACAGAATACAAACTGGTTCATTAAATTTGTAGAGTACTGTACATTTATACCTATTTTTAAATCGAATTATTAATAGATGTACACTACGCAAAAATTAGTCGTACTGTTTCAAAATTTTTGTAATACACTGTACATGGATTTGCACCAACAATCAGCTCCTACAGTGTGAACCACAATTAATGATATTCCAACTTTCAAACGTAAACTGTTCTACTGCTTTTTATTCGCTAATTAATACCAAAAATAATAATGTGAATTAAATGCGAAAAAATTAAACTAGCAATAAATAATAATTTTAAAAAGAAAAAAAAATTAAACAAAGTCGTAATTCAGTTTAGACCGTTTTGGCAAAAATCATAAATCGACCCGCCGGCTATGACATAATAAAGGTTCGCAGGAACCTACTTTAACTGCTTTTTTCCCATTTAACATAAAAATAATTTAGGATAATATACATTCAACTTCAGTTTTTTTTTTTTATACATCCTCTATACTAAAACACAGATAACAGGTAGTTTATTATATCCAATTCTGGATGTAATAATAGCATAGCTGACGGATATTGGAACTAAAGTAACAAACAGGTAAGTACAAACAGCCAGTTTATTGTATCAGGATGTATGCAGGACGATTCAACGGTAAACGCCACCCCAACTTACAAAAAGATAAAAACAAAAGGAAGTTGAAGAGCTTCGGTCTACAGCGTAACGTAACTCTCTCCAATCTTCTTCAGTTAGAAACAATTGAACGAAAAACAAAAAAGATATAAATTAATTGGTGAACGTTTGTAAAAATTATTAGTAAAAATAAATACTTTACAATTCAGTAACTAATAAATTTAAAGTAGGGCGGCGAGTCGCAGACATCATCCCTTACACTAAGAACAAGGCAAGAAAATTCAAACTGAGAAAAAAATATTGTTCGCTTATTTTGTTAGGCAATTTTAAGGCGAAAACCAACAAATAAAATCTTCGTTATACATACAATACTATGGCACGCATTCTTTTATTCAATATTTTACTATTGTTAGAGGTTTCTAACATTTAAATCAGTCTTATAACAGCAAGAACAAAAGGTGCAAAGCAATAAAAAACAAAATTATAATAACAATTATTTAGTGTGCTGTAAGCAATTTAATTACAATTTTTTTAATTATGCTATTGTAACTGATCCAATCGTGNAAAAAAAAATTAAACAAAGTCGTAATTCAGTTTAGACCGTTTTGGCAAAAATCATAAATCGACCCGCCGACCCCCGTAAGTCATTAAATATCAGGCATCACTGTAATGGTTTAGGTCGTTGCCCTGCTTCTTGATTTTTTTGCTTTTCTCAACGGGTGTCGACTGTTGCTGTTGTTCCATGTCCTGCAGATGCCTGAAACGTACGAAACCCTGGTCGTCGACCAACATCGAATCGGGTATCTGATGACTGGGTAGGGTCTGCACCCCAAGATGGGGTCGTGCGTGGTTCTTTTTCGTTCTTCCGGTCGACCTGCGACCGGAAGTGTTTGACGAGTTCCGCGATCTCCGATCGAAATCGTTCCGTTCGAATTCATGCCTGGTTCTTTCGTATTGATTATTATCAATCGGCTCGCTATAAACGTTATGGTCCTGGTGATGGTTCGAACCGTAATCGTGTTGGTAGTCTTCGTTATTGTATTCGAGATCGTATTTAGGTTTCGTATAATATTTCGCACTGTCGTACGTCTTTCGGCTTGAACTTCTGTCGGTTCTCGAGGAATTTGTCAAGCCTCGTTCGAAATGACCAGAGTTCGGTTGGACGTTGTTCAAACTGTTTTGGTCCGAGCTCTGGTGTATCCGGTCCGAGCCCCATTTGGGTCTTTCGAATCGGTCAAAATTCGAACCCCTTTCGGAATCGGACATCTGGTATCTTTCGAGGGTCGATTTTTTATCGAAAGAATCGTTCTGGAATGCGCTTTTAAGAAGATTCGGCCTTTCGACCGGTTCCGTCGGAATATTGTCCAGTATCATTTCGTTTCGGCTGTAATTCAACGCATTCGGGTTCGTGTTGCAGTTGTTGGGGAAGATATTGTCGTTGCTGGAGTCGCTGGTGGTGCAGGGAAACAGGGGGAATCCCACCGTTTGTTTTTCGCGCTGAGACATCCTCAAACTCACCACTATCGCCAACAGGGTTATTATGGATATCTCCAAGACACGCACCGACAGTTCGAAACCCCACAGCATCCAGTGGTGCTTGTTATCGTCGGTGAACCTGTCGATTTTGATGAAGAAGAGCGCGTACAATTGCACGAAACCTAACAGTACGAACAGTAAAGCTATGGCGATGGTAATGTGGGACGCGTAGCTGATATTCTGGGTGCATATTTCCGACAGATTCTGCGTCTTCTTGGCCAAAACGTTCTTGATAATCTTGTACAGGTACAAGTAACTGAAACCGAGCGCCCACGTCAACAGTACGAAGACGGGCTTGCAAACGATTATGCCGCCTTTGTCGAAACGGCCGAGGGTTTCGGTCACGCTCACGCAGAAACACAGACCGATATGCAGCACCCCGAAAACGACCAGGAACATCGGTTTCGTCTTCAGTTTGAGATGATTGAGGGTGCGCTTCAGGAGGAACAGTATCAGAACGGCGAACGTGGTTGCGAGAAGACTCAGCGGGAAGTTGTGCAGGAAATCGTAGATGAAGATGATGGTGAACGAGTTGCCTCTGTTGTACGGGTCGTATGTCAGATAGAAGATGCGCAGGACGCAGATGACCGTGAGCATTAGGTGTATGGTGAGGAAATAGCTCTTCGAGAACATGTGAGGGTCGTTCTCGTATCGCACGAGTTTGTATATCGAGAATGCCGCCAAAAGGATGTAGCAGACGACGACCAAGTACACGTGCACGTTCCAACAGATTAACCAGATTTCGTCACTATTGGCGATCGTCAGGTTCTTCTCTTTCTCCTTCACGTTCGGTAAATTGAGGAGTTCGGTAGGGGGTAACGTCGTAACGTCCTTCCTGGTCTTTTCCGAGTGATCGCGTCGTATTGTCACGCTCTCGGACTTCTCGGACGTTTTCGGCTCTTCGTTACGTTTCGTGTTGGTCTCCTCGCGAACCTTCTTATCGTCCGCCTCGTTCTCTTCGTATTTTTGCGAGCTTTCGTCGTAACCTTCGTCCTTTTTCTCGTCCTGCATTTTCGTGCTGGTCGTGTCGACGATCGGAGTCCTCGGTTTCGTACTTTTCGGTTCCGATTTTTGCACGTTCGGCGTCGCCGTGACGGTCTTCAGCAGGATGTCCGAAATGTCTTCGTGACGGCCGTTCGAGCCGCTCAGTATTCTCGTGATCGAATGGACGTAGCCCTTCTCGTACTCGAAAGGTGTGTCGTTGTTTCGCCCGTACACTTCCCCGAACCTGTCGAGGTTCACGTTGTGCGACGGTGTGTTCAGAGTCTTCTTGCGCTCGCCTTTCGCCTCGGACTGGGCCGTGTCGTAGGTCAGGTTGCGGGAATTGCCGTCCTGCCTTTCGGGATTCCTTTCCGAATTGACCGCCTTGCTCGGCGGCAGATCGGGCCTGTAGGGGATCCTGTCTTTGTTCGGCATCAACGAGGGCGGCGGTATGGGACGGCGGTTCGCGAATCCGTCCGAATTGGTGCCCCTCAGGGTCGGCTTGTCGGCGAACGAATTGAAATAGTCCTTCGGGAGCGACGGCGTCAGCATATCCCTGTTGGGCGGCACGTATATCGGAATGTCTTTGCTGTAAATCGATTTTGTGGGTCTAACGTTCCGGAAGGCGTTATAGTTCGTAGTGGTTTTAAGTACGTTCTCGGTCACTTGTTCGTGACGATTGTTCGGGGGTTGTTGGAATTCGGGTCGTAACCGATCGTTGTTGTACCTGTTGGGGTTGTTGTAGTGGCGGTTGTTGTTATTTTTGAGTATATCGGCCGCTGGTGCCGTCGTCGGTAACGTGTGGTCCCTTTCGAGGTCTTCCCCGTAGTTTCTACCAGCACCGTTGTTGTTTTCGTCAGTCGGTCTTTCGAAGTCGACGTTCTGCACCGGAGGACTGGGCTTTTTCACGTCCACCCTCAGCCACTCGTCGTTGCCGTCCGAGTAGCGGTACGTGGTGAGCAACGGGGTGGCCAGAGTGGTCAGGGGATACGCGTTATCCGGTATGGAACGTTTCGTCGTGCTGCCGTACGCCACCTTGTTGAACACGGCCGCGATACTGTCCTCGAGGTTGATTTTGTCGTTGGGATACGCGGCGACCACCGAGACCGAAAACACCGCGTACAAAAGCCACCTGTTGTTGCTTTTAACGCATCGCAAACAGTGGAGGCACATTATAGTCACTAAGCAAACGATTAGACTTAAATCCGCACATGCGCACACGCACCTATTTACAATAAAATTCTTGATAAAACCTAAAGAGTCAGTTAGGGTTGATCTAAAGCTAGTTCCAGAATCACAGAATTCGTTCTCGACGACCATTGTCGCAGCTGCATCAGTCCTGATGATATCGTCATCATTCGAAACGTACGGACGACGGTCGAAAACAATATTGTCGCGTTTTCTGCCAATATCGCCATTACAGTAATAATAATTGTTGCAGTGTTGTCGTTTTGTGGCGCCCTCGTTTTGCGCCGAGCTATCGACAAACATCGGGGACACCCCTCGATCGCCGCCATTGCTACTGTTACCGTCATTACCTTTATTACAACCTCCGCCCAGATGGGTCTGGTACCTGGGCAGTTTACGTTTGAACTTGACGTACTGTTCGCACTTCGCCCGGGCGCAGAAGTCGTCGTTTTGACTCAAAGGCATCTTCTCTTTCTTCTACGACGGACCTGGACGATGCTTGGGTTCCACCTCGAACAACATTTATTATAGGATCTGCAACAAAGAGAAAAACGCGACATGTAGCACACACCAACTCATAATTTTTTGCGCATTACTGTACACTAAATCGGAATGCAATTTCACAATCAGAGCCGGACTCAGTATTAAAATATACTTGTTTAAACACATACATTATTTATGTACGGCACTGTATACTTAAATCTTATGATTGTCTCATTATCCTCCAAAAATATGATNCGCCCGGGCGCAGAAGTCGTCGTTTTGACTCAAAGGCATCTTCTCTTTCTTCTACGACGGACCTGGACGATGCTTGGGTTCCACCTCGAACAACATTTATTATAGGATCTGCAACAAAGAGAAAAACGCGACATGTAGCACAAACCAACTCATAATTTCTGCGCATTACTGTACACTAACTCGGAATGCAATTGGAATTGGGACAGCAATTTCATAATCAGAGCCGGACTCAGTATTATATATACTTGTTTAAACACTTACAATATTTATGTACGGCACTGTATACTTAAATCTTGTGATTGTCTCATTGTCCTCCAAAATATGATAAATACTGTAAAAATGGATAGCTAAGCAGAAGTTTTCTGGTGTACAAGATTGCTCTTCCCTTGTAAAGAATTAATACGGGACGACATCGTCGAACGGATAAAAAAATAGAAGTAATTTAATTTCACTTCCCCGAGGACTTCAAAACCGCAAGACTTCTATCCCTTTTACAATAACAGGAAAAAGCATCCCTGCCATCCGTAACGTAATTATTCAAAAACTACGACCCAAACAATTATTTCTAAGACAATTCTGATTATTACAGCAGAAAATACGCGGACATTCGTGAAAATTTAATTATCATTAAAATTGATGTAGTTTGCAAAAAAATTAAAATATTAATTATACATACACAGAGAGAAAAATCTTAGAAAAATTACCATGATCGTCACTGTAAAGTGACATATTTCATATATAATTGCCGTTAAAATTAGGTCATTCTTTAAAACCATTTATTTCGTAAGTAGGTACGCCGATTTCTTAATCGATTCATACGTAAAGATTCAAAATTAATTAAAAACCGCATAACATAATTGTGGTCGTACAGCCTTTTATGGTCAACAATTTTAGAGAAGTTATGCAACAAAACAATTAAGAAATTCTTTATTATTTCAAATTTTCCTTCGAATTAGCTGCAGATTTATTTTGCAGAAACCGAAAAGCGCTACGAACAAATGCACCATATAAATAATTGCACATCCCGTTCAATACCCAAAAAAAAAATTGTTCCCGCTTCTAATGACAAAAGACGTATATATATATATATACTTTTCATCCACATAGATCAAGCACATTAATGCTAAAGCAAGGCCTTTTTCTGTAATGAACACGTTGTATGTCGCCGTTAATTCAGACTTGGCAATCAAAATGATTACTTACTACCACACCAAACACCACTGCATCGGCTTTACCAACGCCAGATCCCTCGATGATTACCGTTCGTTGTTGTTGCATCTTTCTTTTCGTTGAATGAAGAAAGAAATAAAGGATCGAATATTATTACGTATAATTATATCGGTCTCGTACGGCTTTTTTCGCTGCCAAAACTGTAACAACCGTGGAAGTACATACATAAATAACGCATTCGCGATGTACAGTAATCCAAAAATATAATGCACAATAACAACACATAAAACTTATATGTATAAAGTTATTTTGCTTGAACTGATGTAGGACAAACGAACAGAGCAGTAAACACGAGATTAAAACCCAACCTAGTAAATAACTAAACAGAATTCACCACTAACAGTTCACACACATTATTGCTGGAGCTCCCTGGTGTTACGACAAAGAGAATGTGAACAGATTTAAACCTTAAGGATGTTTGGGAGGTATGTCAAAATGCTACGAGACAAATAAAAATTTGGAAGAACGTTCCTCATTCAATTCTAAAACTCCTGTAAAAATTACAAATCGATTCACTAAACCGTTAAAAAGTTATTGAAATTTTAAAAAATTGTAATTTTACACGTCATTTTATGGAGATTCGTTAACCGAACAGATTAAATTTATTTTTATTAACAGAAAAAAAGCTACCAGAAATTTCAAACTTTTATAATAAGTAACTTGAACTCTGGAGAATCACTTTAGCGTAAGGTTATTCAAATTCACTAAATGGTTATCGAGGAAAAAATGAAAAATTAGCTGAAAATCTCGTTTTTACTTGATAATATAATGATAATATTTATAATTGTCTGAAATAAATGCAATTTTAAAGTTTTAATTATTATTTAAACATATTAAAAAGTTTTAAGCTCATTATTAATAGAGATTGAAGGTAAATATTTTTTTGTTTTGAAGTTGAAATCAAGGCATATTTACTGCCAAGTCATTTAAAAATTTTCCATATTATTCGTTATTTCTTATTTAATTCAAAGTTTTCGGTCAAATTCCAAATTTTTTCTCAAACCGTATACTTTTCTTTAGTATAGATAGTTTTTATTTACCTCATGATATGCTACAAAACCTAATTAATCACGAATTTCTAATTTTATGTGCTCTTGTCTCCGATTGTACCTCCCAAACATCCTTAATGTGAATGTTACTAGGCACAAAATGTTTAGTTGGAATTTCCCCGAATTCGGCTTTGATAACACCACAACGATCAACTGTAGGCATACATTTTTATACTCGATAAAAAAAATGCGCTTGTGAAATTTTTGCAGATTACGCGATCTGCGGTAATTGAGTTAGGCAAATTTTTCTGATTTGTACATGCAAATATAGAGGTCGGCTTTTGATTATTTTAATATACATATGGTAATCGACGTGCAGGATTAGTTTTGAGGTACAAATACGCACACAGAATTTCCATACTTATATTCATACGTAATTGTACGATATTCAACAAAAAAAAAACGGACGGACAGACAGACACACGAGTGATGCTATAACGGTTCCGTTTTTCATTCGGACTGAACAAACCATAAACTTCTTATTGACGTTTCCTGTAATCTATAAGTAAAGGACTATTTTCTGTATTTTTTTCAAAATTTTAGGTTCACTAGTTTCGGAGAACGGTCAATTTTCACCTATTTTCTTAAATAACTTTAGAAATATTTATTTTAAAATTATAAAAAAATACATTCGAGACCCTTACAACAAGCCCTTTCATTTGATATACCACACGGGACAGTTTGCAAAACTTTCTTTTTTTAATTCCCCATTGGCCCCCGCAAAAATGACCCCCGTGTTCGAGATCAATTTATTTACGTTACGCGTCCGTGTTTGGTGAGTGATCCAATAAGGGTTCCGTTTTTCATTTGGACGGGCGGAACCCTTAAAAAACATACATTCAAATTTTTTAGACAATATCGACTGGTTGTACCCGTTTAAAAACGCTTTCTGTTGTTAATCCCTATACATGCGTACGTCAAACTACACAACAGCTATTACGAAAATTTTGTTAGTCAGATATTTAACAAAAGTAACCATTGTTAGACGAGATGATGATATTGTCTTTGAGAAATTCGCGATTCGTATCCTTACACCAGGCAATACGACTGACTCAGCAACACAAACAATAATAATAATAAAAAAAAAAAAAACGAATTCGCACAATGTCTACTTTGCATGCCCATCCAGGAACTGTCAAGCAATTGTCTGTACCAACATGTCAGGCCCATTATGCTATGTACCCTGTACGTAGACGCCTTATGTACAAACGGACTCGTACATAACATAAATACACTCACCGTGAAATTCTTGTGCTTGACCTGATCATAAACTCATATAATGTACCTAGGTATTCTTCTATCTGCACTGCACTGTCTGCTGTAGCATTCAAAGAAGGCACCACATCGAGGTATGTCTGCGGACGAGTGTATTTGTTCATAATGAAAGTAGTTTTGTTGTGGTTTTGATTCGAACATTTCAATGGCGATTCAAGCCATCATAAGAACACGAAAATAATGTATCTAGTTGATGATGTTCGTCATGTTTTATGTGAAATTCTTAACAACTATGAAATATACTATCACTTATCCTGTTGTTGACAATAATTACATTTTCTGTAGCTAGGAAATAGAGGAAATGACTTGACTGCAAAATATGAATGTCAACATTTTTCACTATATTACGCCAAATTTCTAACTCCTAGACTATTAATAATTATTTGTTGTTCCTTTATCTGCATACAGATACAAATCATTGTATATATCAAGCTGGGTCAACAAAGTGATATTCCTTACTTCTGGAAAGCATCATTATTTGTTGCTAATTCGTTACCAACTCTAAAAATTTGTCGCTTCAGTAGATACAAAATCATTAGATAATTAAATAATGGTGGTGCGACAAAGTTATATTCCTTATTTCCGAAATGCACCATTATTTGTCGCTAATTCGTTACCAAATCTAAACATATGTCGCTCCAGTAGTTATACAAAATCATTAGATAAACAAATTATAGTAGCGAGACAAATTTACATTCCTTATTTTTAAAATTCACTATAATTTGTCGCTAATTTTTCACCAAATCCAAAAATTTATCGTCCTAGTAAACATACAAAGTCATTAGATAAGTAAGTAGAGGTAGCGCGACAAAGTTATATACCTTATTTCGGAAATTCACCATAATTTGTCGCTAATTTGTCACTAAATCTAAAAATTTGTCGCCCTAGTAGAGAAACAAAATCTCTAGATAAATAAATATTGGTAGTGCGACAAAGTTATATTCCTTATTTCCGAAATGCACCATTATTTGTCGCTAATTCGTTACCAAATCTAAACATATGTCGCTCCAGTAGTTATACAAAATCATTAGATAAACAAATTATAGTAGCGAGACAAATTTACATTCCTTATTTTTAAAATTCACTATAATTTGTCGCTAATTTTTCACCAAATCCAAAAATTTATCGTCCTAGTAAACATACAAAGTCATTAGATAAGTAAGTAGAGGTAGCGCGACAAAGTTATATACCTTATTTCGGAAATTCACCATAATTTGTCGCTAATTTGTCACTAAATCTAAAAATTTGTCGCCCTAGTAGAGAAACAAAATCTCTAGATAAATAAATATTGGTAGTGCGACAAAGTTATATTCCTTATTTCCGAAATGCACCATTATTTGTCGCTAATTCGTTACCAAATCTAAACATATGTCGCTCCAGTAGTTATACAAAATCATTAGATAAACAAATTATAGTAGCGAGACAAATTTACATTGGTTATTTCTAAAATTCACTATAATTTGTCGCTAATTTGTCACCAAGTCTAAAAATTTGTCGCCCCAGTAGAAAAACAAAATCATTAGATAAATAAATCAAGCTAGCAAGACAAAGTCA